GTAATTCCGGCTACTTGGAAGGCTGAGGTGGAAGGATTGCTGGAGCCCAGCAGGTTGAGGGTGTGGTGGCCAGGAGCGGCCACTGCACTTCAGTCTAGGCAACAGAGTCAGACTCCAACTCAAAAAAAAAAAAAAAAGGTAATTTGGACACTCATGACAGCCACAAACAGAGACCCCAAGCAGCCCACAGTAAACTTACAAACCTCAGAACCCTCAGCCCCCAATCACCGTGGCTGTACGCTGTTCATCGAATCTGTGACATTTTTGCAGTTCCTTGTAGAGTTCACCCCTTGGAGCATATTCCAGAACCAGGTATATCCGGCGAGCATCATGGAAGTAGTTGTATAAGCGTAGGATATTGGGGTGTCTACAGGAGGGATGGAGGAAGGGTCAGTTTTCTCCCTGGGGCAACACGATGCTATTATCAGTGACTGGTCAAAAAAGTGGCAAACTGTGTTGGGACCAAAATAATGACAGCCTGACTGGGAATGAATGAGGGGAGAACAGGAATAAGAATTCTGGTGTTTGGGCCAGGCATGGTGGCCCATGCCTATAATTCCAGCACTTTTGGAGGCCAAGGTGAGAGGATTGCCTGAGCCCACGGGTTTGAGATCAGCCTGGGCAAGTTGGCGAGACCTCATCTCTACAATACAATAAAAATTAGCTAGGTGTGGTGGCGCATGCCTGTAGTTCCAGCTACTTGGAAGTCTGAGGCAGAAGGATCGCCTGAGCCCAGCAGGTCGAGGCTGCCATGAGCGTATCCCTGCACTCCAGCCTGGGTGACAGAGTGAGACTCTGACTCAAAAAGAAACTGTCCTTACTGTAGATGCGCCTGGATTTCAACTTCCCTGCGCAGCTGGTGCTCCAGGCCTTCCTTCTCTATCTGGGACTTGAAAAGAACCTTCAGGGCCACAATGAAACGGCTTTCCTTGAGCCGAGCCAGGTACACATTCCCGAATTTCCCCTTGCCCAAAGGTCGCCCAATTTCAAAGTCATCGATTGTGCGACGGTGCCTGAGGGGAGAGAGAGAAAAGGGCCTCAGTCGGGAGGCAGGGTGGGTGAAGGCAAGGTCAGGGATTCCCCAACGTCCCCTTCTCCCTTCAGGGCATCCTCCCTCTGGCGCTGTCCCTTCTGAAGGGCCCAGCCTGGTCGGTCCTGAAGGCAGCTTTCAGCTCCTCCCGGAAGCCGACACCCGACCCACCCAGCTGGGTCTTCACCCCCTGCCCCACCTGCCTTCCTTCTGCAGATACCGAGCCAAAGGCACTCACGTAGTCGGGCTGCCGGGCTGCTGGGCTGTTGGGCCTACTGGGAGAGGTAAGGGGAAGAGGAGCGGAGAAGGAGGGGGTGTGGACAGAAGGGAAGGAGTGGGGGGAAGGGGTGTAGGTAGAGGGGGAGGGAGTGGGGGAGAGAGGGGAAGGAGTTGGGGGGAGAAGTGGAGGGGAAAGCGGAGAGGGAAAGGGAAAGGAAGGGAAGAAGGGGCGGAGGGGAGAGGGAAGGAGAGGGAGGATGAAGGAGGAGGGGGTAAGCAGAAGGTGGGGGGAGGAGAGAAGGGGGCAAAGGGGAGAAAGGAGAGGGAGGATGACATGTCAGCACTCTTTTCCGCGCACCCCAACACCCGCAGGGAGGCCAGCCCCTTCCTCACTCGCCCCTTCCCAGGCCCTGGTGCTCACCCCTGTCCTCTGAGGGCTGAGCCTCCCCCAACTGCGGCACGGCTTTCAGGTAACTCATGGGGCAAGGGGGGGGGAAGGAGGAGGGGCCAGGGTGAGGCGGGTCAGGTGCGGGTGGAGGCCTCGGGCTTCAGGATCCGGGTGTCAGGGAGTCGGTGGCAGCGGACCAGCCTTTTGTACCACGTGGGCGGCCTCGCGGCTGAGTGGGCCATCCTGGCTGGCTCCCATTGGCTGAAGCCTCTGACGTCATCGGCAGCGCACCCAATAGAAACGTCGGGAGTGGGCGCGGGGCCAATGGGAGGGCAGGGCACGGAGTCGACGGAGGCGGAGGGGCGGGGCGCTGGGACCCGGCCGCAAGCGCCAGGGGAGACCACCCGGGCGATGCTAGTAGCTGTCTGAGGGATGAATGAATGAATGAACGAAGGCGTGAGTGCGCTAACTGAGCAGGAGGCTGCGCGCACATATGAGGGAAGCCCAGGCCACCTCCAGACGTTGACTTGGTGTAGTTCGCAAACCCTAGCGTCACAGCAGCTCCTGCTTCAGGGCCTGGGTTCGAGCCTCCCTCCCCCGCTCCCCAGGCCTCCGCACGGTCCTGGGGGTCACGGCCGTAGGAGCTCCCAGACGTGGGTGCCGGGCACAGAGACGCCTGGCTGCACTCCCGACTCCTCCCGCACGCCCATCTTCACTGTACCGGCAGTCAGTCTGCGTGCTTTATCTCAACACATGGTGTCTGTTCAGCAAACGCAGACGTTGCCAACACCTTCGCAATTGGGTCCTTTTAGGGAACAGAAGTGTCAGAAACAGAACGGAAAACGACACCTTCTCTCCACCCAGGAAACCACCAACCACATGGCCTGTGGTGGTAACAGGTGCTCCGAGGAAGAGAGGACAGAGGGGTCAGGAGAATCGCGCATATGGGGGAGTCGAAAAAAAACAAAGTAGGCCGGTCGCGGTGGCTCAAGCCCGTCGTCCCAGCACACTGGGAGGCCGAGGCGACAGGATGGCCTGAGTCCGGGGGTTTGAGACCAGCCTGGGCAACTTGGCGAGACCTCGTCTCTGCAATTAATCAAAAAATTAGACGGGCATGGTGGCGAGCACCTGTGGTTCCAGCTACTTGGGAGGCAGAGGTGGAGGGATCGCCTGAACCCAGCAGGTCGAGGCTGTGGTGGCCGTGAGCGTGCCCCTGCACTCCAGCCTGGGCAACAGAGTGAGACTCCGACTCAAAACAAACACAGTGTTCTCCCAACCTAAAAAAGCTCGTCACGAAGGTAGTAGAGAAAGAGGTCCTATTATTGAACAGTGTTAAACCAGAATGTGAGATGCATCACAGGCAATATAGTAAGACATCATTGCAAAAACAGAAAAATAACCTCACCCATTTATGTACTAAAGCAGATACAACCCATTACATCCAGGTTCTCAAAATAAACAATAATTAGTCCTCAAGTGAGGAAACATGAAAGTACTAGTCGTCACACATAATTCATCCCAAATTTACCTGGCAATTGGGGTGACTATCTGTTTCACTTAAATCGTGGTTTTGTTTGTTTAGAGAGACATCTTGCTATGCTGCCAAGGCTGGAGGGTAGTGGCTGTTCACAGGATTCATCATGGCTCTCAAACTCCTGGCCTCAAGGGATCCGCCCGTCTCAGCCTCCCAAGTAGCTGGGTAAGTAAATTTTAGAGTGTACAGAGTAAAGTAAGTAGCTAAATCCAAGAGTGCAGATGAGGCCTGGAGAGAGACCAGTAACTGGCAGAAAAAGGTGTTTGGGACAAAGTCTTAGAAATTTCAACACTGAGGCCAGGTGCAGTGGCTCATGCCTGTAATCGCACCACTCTGGGAGGTTGAGGTGGGTGGATTGCTTGAGTCCAGGAGTTTGAAACTAGGCTAGGCAACATAGCGAGACCTTGTCTCTACAAAAAGATAAAAAAAGTTCGCCAGGTGTGGTGGTGCACACTTGTAGTCCCAGTTACTTGATATGCAGAGGTGAAGGATTGCCCAGGTGCAGGAGGTCCAGGCTGCCATGAGTCATGATTGTCATGATCATGCCACTGCATTCCAGCCTTGGCAATGGAGTGACCCCTGATTGGAAAAAAGAAAGAAAGAAGGAAAGAAATAAGGAAATAATTTTCAACACGTGGATGTGCCAACAAGGACGAGCTGGAGGTGAAGGAGGGTAAACCAGGAGACAACCCTTACAGAACAAAGGAAGAGTGCTTTTGGAGAATGGTCAATAAGATCAAGTCCTGTTGGTAGACTTGGACTTGAGTTGTGCAAACACCGAGTCACCAGTGGCGAGAAGGGTGGCACTGTAGCAAGGAGGTTCACAAGGAGAGTGAAGGTGTGGGAAGTAGAGAGAAAAGCAACAAGAGGTCATGGATCTATTACACACGGAGGAAGACAGTCCCAAGAGGCTCCTCTGTTAAAGGAAAAGAGGGAGGAAAAGACAAAGAAACAAAGCCCTTACAGACAAAGATCATAGTGGTGATGTCTAACATTCCACAACTGCAAAGATAACTCAGGGTGAAAGTGACAAAGAATATGCAGATGAGTTGGGCTCGGTGGCTCAGCTGTAATCCCGCGCCTTTGGGAAGCTGAGGTGAGTGGATTGCCTGAGCCCACGGGTTTCAGACCCGCCTGGGCAGCGAGACCTCATCTCTACAATAAATCAAAAAATCAGCCGGGCGTGGTAGCACATGCCTGTAATTCTGGCTACTGGGAAGGCTGAGGCGGAAGGATCGCCGGAGCCCAGCAGGTTGAGGCAGCGGTGGCCGGGAGTGGCCACTGCACTCCAGTCTGGGCGACAGAGAGAGACTCTAACTCAAAAAAAAAAAAAAAGAATATGCAGATGAAAAATAGGCTTGTGCCAGTGCGGTGTCTCATATCTATAATCCTAGCACTTTGGGAGGCGGAGGCAAGAGGACTGCCTGAGCCCAGGGTTTGAGACCAGCCTGGGCAACTTGATGAGACCTCGTCTCTACAATAAATCAAAAAATTAGCCGGGTGTGGTTCTGGCTCTTGGAAACCTGAGGCAGAAGGATTGCCTGAGCCCAGGAGGTTGGGCTGCAGTGAGCCATCATCATGCCACTGTACTCCAGTCTGGATGACAAAGTAAGACTCGAACTCCAAAAAAAAAAACGAAAAGGAAAAGAAAAGTAGACTTGTAAGTGGCTGGGATGGCATGTGTGGCAAACATCAGGAAACTAAATGGAGAAAAGGGCACTCATTGCTCACGTGTGACTCCAGAGACCAACAAGAGACACACTTCGAACACAGGTGAATGCTTATACCTGAGAGTAGGGACATGAAATGGAACTAAGAAGAGCAACAGTACACACAGCGACATTGAAAGACCACACAACTACAAATGGCTTGAGGCATAAGAAAGGAGGAATGAGGATGCCCATGTAAAGATGATCAAGCAAACAAATAAGCTGAGTACTGTAACTCATGCCTGTAATCCTAGCACTTTGGGAGGCTGAGATGGGAGGATTGCTTGAGCCCAGGAGTTCTTGAACTCCTGCCTGCCTGAGTAACCTGGAAAGACCTCTTCTCTACCAAAAAAAAAAAAAAAAAAGTTTGGGCATGGTAGTGCATACCTGTAATCCCAGCTACTCCGGAGGCTTACGCTGAAGGATCATCTGAGCCCAGGTCAAGGTTATGGAGAACTGTGATCTCTGCCACTGCACTCTAGTCTGGGCAATAGCCTGAAACTCTGATGAGAGGACGGGAGGGGAGGGGAGGAAAGATGTAGTCATGGCTGGGAGTCAGCATACACAAAGGCATATCTTCCTTCAAACCTCCAAGTTGGAAAAATGACACAAGGAGAATGAGATCTGAAGGTGTTATCTGTGTATTTGGAGCCCTCTATTGGTTGTGCTTGAACATTTTAAGCCTCTAGCTAAGAGAAGGGCAGGAACTACCTTCCTAAAATCCCAAGCACTCAGCATCGAGATCTAGTAATGGTCCCTCAAATGCTTGGTTACTACAGATGCACCTGGACAGCCCTCCTTGGTATTGACCCCTCCAACCCCATCCATGGCTCTTCACCTTGTTCCAACCTAAAGATCTCATCTGGCTTGGAGCAACAACACTGTTCTTTGGAAATAACATGGGAATGGCCCATTTGCTTAACCAAATTATTGAAATTCATTATCTCACTCATGCTTTTTGGTGGGCTTTTTTTGAGTCAGAGTCTCACTCTGTCATCTAGACTGGAGTGCAGTGGCATGATGATGACTCACCGCAGCCTCAACCTCCTGGGCTCAGGTGATCCTTCCACCTCAGCCTTCCAAGTAGCTGGAACTACAGGGATGTGCCACCACACCCAGCTAATTTTTTGATTTATTGTAGAGGCGAGGTCTCGCCAAGTTGACCAGGCTGGTCTCGAGCCTGCAGGCTCAGGCAATCCTCTCACCTCAGCCTCCCAAAGTGCTGGGATTATAGGTGTGAGCCACCGCACCTGGACTGAAATGTAGATTTTTTTTTTTTTGGGTTGGAGTCTCACTCTGTCGCCCAGACTGGAGTGCAGTGGCTGCTCCCAGCCATCACAGCCTCTGCTGGGCTCCGGCAATCCTTCCACCTCAGCCTTCCAAGTAGCTGGAACTACAGGCGCGTGCTACCACATCCAGCTAATTTTTGATTTATTGTAGAGATGAGGTCTCGCCAAGTTGCCCAGGCGGGTCACGAAGAAATGTAGATTTTATTATTCAACTCTGATGACGCTGACAGACCAGGAGACAACTACCACTGAGAGGTCTGTGACTTATAGTTCCCAAGAAGAGGGGGTATGCCAAGCCACACAAAGCTAAACAGGAAAGCACCATGGTTGATTAAAAGGGAGGAACAAGCAGAAAGTATGGGCAGAGCCTTTATTGTCATTTTCTCTCTTTTTAAAAAATAGGGTCTTGTTCTGTCACCCAGGCTGGAATGCAGTGGCTCAATCATTGCTCACTGGAGCCTCAAACTCCTGGGCTCAAGTAATCCTTGTGCTTTTTGGCCTCCCAAAATACTAGGATTACAGGTATGAGCCATGGCACCCAGGCTATATTGTCATTTGAGAAGAAATGAGCAAGGCAG